TGAAACTATAACTTATTCGACTATAATCAGTAAGTTGTATTTAATTTTTCCCAAACTCGCGTTTTTAAGACAACATATTTAATATGTGAGAATTATCTGCAATGTTTTTTAAAAGCATCATTGTTTTTGCAACCAGTATTAGCATTTGATGCGTCGTAGTTAAGTAATTTTTTTCCTCGTACACTTGACATTGTCTGTGCCTTGTAACCTATGTCGCAAGGAAGCACCAGTAGAATAGACAATAGACCAATTGGTTTAGTTAACGCAACTGTCAACAAGGACGCATATTCTTAACACGTTAGGACCTCACCTGACTTAAATCCGCATAATTAGTTATTGGCGGGAAGCAGTAAGTGGCGCGCTGGTAGCATTGTGTCTGTGATAATACTATTTTTGTATCATATAATTTGGGTGATAGCGAAAGGGATTGTCCCGGATGCAAGGCATACGAGTATATGTAATTGTTATCATTATACTTGTTCGTATATTGCTTTTATTTATAATGGCCGTGTCTGTTGCACCATATCTCGTCCTTTTAACAGTCTTATAATTTTTGGTTATACGTGCTGTAACCAAAAATCGTGGGAAGCTAGCTGTCAAAGGATTTAAAAAAAATAAAAAGGAAAGGATGCAGCCGTCTTAAATTATAATAGCTATTATGTCCGCCCGCTGCGTCCCGCTAATACACTCGTATTACGTCTTGCAATAATCAACAAAAAACAGAAGTTGCACCAAAAGGAAAGGACTAATCTATTGATGTTTCCTTGCGACCCACGACTAATGAAAAAAGATCTCGTTCGCCAGTAAACGCGGTTTTCTAGAAATGGAAATTATAAACAAATTGGTCATGACAGTCAGTTCCTTCTTTCTATAGTTTTATCATTATAATTTATATATTACTCAGATCTTTCTGTGCCTTACATATTATTTCATTGATTTTTGGGTGTATGACGTGTTTCGAACACAATACCCCTGGATAGAAAAGAAATAATAAACAAAAGAAAAATGCCATAGGTTTTATAAAGTGTAATTACAGTATCATGCTATCGATAAAATTGATGCATTGCGACATTTATCTTCCCGAGTAGATAAGCTTTATATTATAACTTGATAATGTCGTATTGGTCATAATGTTCAGAAATAACATGGAGTTTGACAAGCAGACTGCATAATGTTTGGTTAATTCTTCCTTACTGCGCGAGTTGTTGAGAAACAAACAGGTGGGCCATTGCAGGGCAGTTTATTGATTGCCATACACATTATTTAAATACTAATGACTTAATGGTCAGAACCTTAGTCATTAACGTCTTTATTGAAGGAAAGGAAATTCAGTATCCTCAATACAGCGTCAATGAAAATTATAATGATTATAGCAAATTCCGAAATTCCTTCCTCATTGTGAATGTTATTTGCTTCTATCGTTGACGTATGCTGCGATATTTAGTTTGTCATACACTTGACCGCGTATGACATCATTAAAAAGTAAACAGCTCGCCAGTAATGCGCACGAGTTTACCTAAACATCTGTGTTTATGATGCCTTCGAAATTTGCCATATCATATCACTTTAGTCGCAGACCAAGTGAAGTGATAAACGTCACTTGCTCTGCGCTAAGCCACATGCTTATTTCTTTAATTAAAAAGGAAAATGTGAGTACTATAATTACATAATCAGTTGAAACCGCAACAACAAACAATATCCAGAAATTATTGTAAGCTCAGAGCAATATTGAATCATTGCTAACCATCGGCATTTAAAGAGACTGCTTAAACAAATTAGTAACTACGTTAAGGTCTGAGTGTGATTAGCACACTGTGTATGCTGACTCGATCTTTTTGTCAAACAAGAAAAGAGCGTACGAATTCTTAAAAGGCCGGCAACGCACTTGCCCTCTGGCAATGTGAGTGTTCATGGGCATCGGGTATCACTTAACATCAGGTGAGCCTCCTGCCCGTTTGCCCCTGTTATATATAAAAAAAACAGGGGTGCTGAGAATTTCAAGCGATGCCGTGGGCACCAGCTGCTTTAAAGTAGAAAACGTAGGATACGTATAGGTTCTGCCTATGACATCTCTGAAGTGTACTAATAGTCTAAGTTGGCTTCTGGCCAATATGATTAAAGAGGACAGGTGTAAGAATTTATGCAGGTCTGAATTATAGGTACATTTGACTTACGTATATATTTTCCTAAGAATCATAAAGCATGTAAGAAATACTCAAAAAACAGGAGTAAAAGAAAATAGCAGATGCTGCTCTGTTACATTTGTATTCGTCGTGCAAAATCCATAATATATTCGAGATAACACGTAATTATTAAGTCACAGTAATAAAATCACTACTATAACGAGTCTTGCATCATTAATCAAATGAAGGGTGGAACACAAATACGATCGCTTGTCTCTGGGATAAATATTATTTATACGTTTTAATCAATGTGATCGAATAGTAATTCTGACGTATTATTGCGTGCGTTGAAAACAAAAATATTATTCTAGGGTGTACGCCTTTGCTTGATAACGTCCGATTTAGGGTTAGACGACAGCAAGGGCAGATCTCACGTCAGGGGGTTCATAAACAGTCAAAGTTTAAATTTGTACTGTATACACAAGATTCTGTTTTTATAATGTACAAAAATGGCTGATTTGGGTCGTTTTTATGCAGAATATCACATATTGTGACAGTTACTAATAATTGTTTGGAATAAAAATATATTTAGAGAAACTTATTGTCTACTCCTTGCTCAATTGGAAATTAGCCTATTTTTTATATTAACTTTTACATTTCTATAATATAAAATTTTTGATGTTTAAAACATAGAAAATATTTTTTTACAAATGAGATCAACAGAGATCAACCTTAAAATAATTATATAACCAATGTTTAAATACATCATGTTGACCTTAATTAATGTTTGTTTATCACAAATTACAACAAAAATTATGATAATCTTGTCCGTCGTTAATCTTCTTATTCTTGAATCTTTATACCTAATAGTTTATCAGTTCAACTGTTATTTGCACCTTTCATTTCTAATGCGTGTCAAAGAACAACCTATCAATATATCTTTACAGTATGAAATTTTTTTTTCTTTTTAATACAATATATAATAGCTGTTGGACTTAAGGACCTTTATAGCTCAACTGGGGTTGTTTTGGCGATCGCAGCTCGTCCGGAATGGGCGTTTTTCCCGCGACTAGCGCTAGGGCGTCTCCTGCGAGAGTCGGACCGTTGAAATTTTGACCACACGAACTGCCATTTTTGTACAAATTTAGTTTTCGACTTTCTACATACACTACTGTTACAGTATCTTGACTGAGCCCCCAGGTAACAATACTAAAACAAGATTTGTAAGTTATGTCAACCAGTAAAAGCTCAAAATCTTTTAGCAAATAACAGGCTTTAAATAGTAGCATTTTAATTCAACTAATCAACGTTAAAATATATTAACAATGGATACTACTCCACACAAGTATTTCCTAGTGCCAAACCAACCTTAAACCTTTGAAAAAATCAGCGTAGATATATAATTTTATATTGGTCGTATTTGGTTTTCCGTTTAGTACAAAATAAATGCAAGGTTATATCAATATCTACCTACACAGTAACCAATTCAGTCAATTATGTAACGTCGCCCTGAAGAATTCGCAGCGCGCAGTGTGATCGATCCTATGAGCTACAGCTGTATTCAGTTCAAGGTCTTCTGTCGGGGCAATTTTTTATGCTTTTAAGATTTCTAAAGGCACTAGCCACCCTCCGTTTTTCTTAAGACTCCTAATGTCGAGGTTCCTATTAATTAGTGCTCAGGGCTTGGCTTAAGATCGTTTAGCCCTGTTTTTAACGATAAAAAATAATTCCATACCTACTTGATACATAGCAAATCAGTTTCTTAGCTAAACAATGGAAATCTTTAAACTTATAGGTCAAATATCAGCTGAGAAAATATAACAAGTATATATATACACAGGGTAGTTATAAAAATTAATAGATACTTTTCTTTTCTTTTGGCGTCCATGCAAGTAATGTTTATACTCTCATACGTGTTTTAAAGCATTTAAATATAATAATATATATATTAATACATATAATAAATTAAAGCAACTTATTTTATTTTACCTCCGTGTATTTTTCTTTAATGTACTTGTAATCAATTTAATATAATTAATTCATCATAAACACCAATACAATTGTATTCACATTAAGCAATTGTTTGGGTCAGTAACCTATTTTATGCAAGGTTCATATAAGTCCTGAAGGCAGACTTCTTTTTATAATTTACCTAGATGGTGACGTCACAAGGTTTATAGTATGTTTTACTACACGGTTACATATTATTCAAGGCAGAATTCCTAAGAATGACAAAATTGGTACTATAAGTAGTATTTAAGTATACCTTGAATTATACCATCTATTGACACATTGCCATTTTTAAATCATATTTAATTTACTTTTCAAACTTTAACATCTAGTCAATGTATGTCTAATTGCAACCATTTTACTTACATCCCACCAGTATTGAAAATCCTACTATGAAATAAGATAAACCTAACTTCAATGCATCTCTTATGTAACAGCATGTTGCTAATGAAGATAATATGATAATAACTGATTGTAAGGTATTTTTATCTCAGGTTGCATCAATAACTAAAATACTAGAGTTGTAGTCATGTATTTATAGTCTTTACAGATAACAAACTTGTAATAGTCATGGTAAATAAAAAAATATATACCTTCAAATATGTGAAAAGTTCCTAAACTTTTATTAAATTCCTTTGACGTATGACTGAATGAATGTATGGTTAGAGTTATTTGTATCTACCAAATTATAAAAATAAAACTAAGAAGCTGTTCACAATAATTTTATTAAATAACCACATAACTTACTGAGATTCCACACACGCCTAGCCCAACTAGCCAATATTTACAGGAGGCCGCTTATACTATATGTACATCATGTGCGGGACAAGTTTACATCACAGGTATTAAGTTGCAAATTTGTAATATTTAAACCGGGGCTCCCACTTCTTCTTGATAAGACCTCGTGAGATGTGTAGCTGAGGCGGTCAGTAGGCGAAGGCAGCGGCGCAGGCCTCTAAGATGGCGCCGACAGTCTTCAGCGGCGCGAGCAGCTGACTCTCTTTCATCCTCACCTTCAATGCCAGAGTCGCCAGCAGCACTTGATGTTTCGCTGTCAGTGTCACTCATGTCTGACACTCTTCTTCCACGATCACTCTGCTCTTCAGGTTCAGCTCCCGCCCAGAGCAGCTCAGTCTTCAGGTCATTCAGCATGGAAAAGAGACTGAATGGGTCATCATCACCCTCCTGTGGTAGGTTCATCAACCGACTGGGCACAAGTACTGTATCGTCCATGGTATTGACCATTTTCACGAATTTCTCCATTTCGTGGAGGATGCTTTCCTTAGAGAACTCAGTGTTATCATTTCTAGCAATTTTTCGCAAGCTGTTCCTGTAACAAAAGAAAATGAGTTTTAGAAGTCTTCAAAGAGAAAAAGTAAATGTAGGTACAGTAATGTACATGATATTTTTCACTACTATCAAATTTAATTTTTCGAGTTATAGAGTGAAAATATGTACCAAAATGGCTTGGAGGGACTCGGTGATTATTTCGATTAACAGAGGGTCAAGATTTCAAGTAATGGAGGTTTTGGTGTTTTAAGGGAAGGGAACAAAACATTTTTTCGAGATTTGGAGGTTTTTGACTTATCGAGGTTCGACTTAACGAGGTTCTACTGTATTACATAGTTTAATCTACAATATATTAATATTTTTAGGGATATTGAAATAAAGATTCTATTGTACTATCTTAGTTTAGGTACATGCAGTCAAGCATTTTCTTCAAGCATGTTGTGGCATATAACAGAAGTTAGTCAGACATACCTTGATATGTTACAACACAACTATACATTTTTACTTTTAATGCATAAGGCATTAATTGTTAACCTCCACAATAGGGTTAAACATAATGAATTGCTATTTAATTACATGTCATTAACAATAATATCTCTTTGTCTTATGAATGGAATATGAAATAAATAATAAATAACTGTGTTAATTATGATTATTGCAATAACAATACATAAAAATATATTAAGATTATTTCATTTCTATATTAATTAAGTAGCCATAGTATTTGACTAAAGCTTAATTTAGTATGAAATGTCTTAATACTGATACTATGTAATGAGAAGTAGATACTCAAGTACTATAAATGAACTACCGTTCATTGAATGAACTAGTGTTTAAATGCATAGGAACATTATGTACTTAAATAAAAGCATGTAGAACATTTTAATACTTAATAAATCATTTGGAAAATTATAATAATAATTAAAAATCTAGATCATAATATTATAACTAACTATACGGGTAATCATATTGTAATTTCTAACTGCCTCAATTTTATGAGCTTGTATACAGATAGAATAAACACTAAAATTTAGTATATAATAAAAAAAAACCTAAGATATAAAAATTGATGCCAGAGAGCCTATGATTTAATCAACCAACTTTTGAATTGAAAGTTAACCTGTGAAATATGAAAGTTTTACCTTGCCTTCAACAATTCAAGTTAATCTTGACCTTAGGGCTTTATTTTTATGAGAAGAATATTAATGATATCAGTATTCAAGGCATTCAACTTATGTTTGATGTAATATTTCTTTATAAATGAGTGACAAAATGTACAAAACAAGCAAAAACTGCAGTTTATGGAGTTTTTATTAAATTTACATAAATATCTTAGTTGATTTTAATACATATTATGCGTTATGAAAGGCACGATAATTATGTAATGTTAAGTACAAATTGCAAAGGCTTTATTCCGCTCTCATTGAGTCATAGGTTCGCGCACGCCCAGAAGATTCCTTAACTTAACCTAAATTGGAATATAACACTCGATTTTTCAAGTTTTAACTTTAAATAAAAACTATTTTGACACCAATCAGCAGTCAGCACCGTTACGTCAATTCGTTGAAAAGATGCTATTATGTCAATGTGAAAGGAATTGGGTTTCGACATAAATCTCTGGTTCAATACATTTTAAGTAAGTATATCTTTTGAATGTTGCAGTGGATAGTTATTATAAATTCTTACTAATAGTATTACTGCAGTAGTAATACTTCACTTCGAACTCATTAATGCATCACGCGGAGGCCCTAACCAATAACTAAAAGGGACGGGGTCAGAGTAAAAATGTATCTTTACCTGCTGTTTTCCAGTTTTGATGAAATATCGGTATTGAAAGACATCTTGTGTTATTTAACTTTGTTTTAAATATCACTGAACACACACGCTCTAATTTTTATTCACAGTTAAGCACTAGCTTACGAAATCTCGCGGAAAGACTGATTTCTTGAGACACAAACGACCGCACAGTCATAAACGATTTGACGTTTGGCTAGAAGTGGGGAGCGTTCTCGAGTTTTTATATGACGCCACGATCATACGATGCGGGAACGGTGCGAAAGAGTTTTTTATCGCGCTATGTTGAGCATCTCGAATTGGCCGCATTTCATTGATAAATAAATAGAAAATATCTTTATTATACTCAGATGGTTATTTGTAATGTTTATGACCAATTTCTTGGTAATCTGAATGAAATAGTCGAAAGATTAACAATAAATTTTTTGTCGCTGTTTACTTTCTTGAATCACACCACATCAAGAATCCCTGATTGGTTGAAAATCATCCAGGGATTATTTGATTGGCTAAATACTTGTCCTGAAAACGCGGTTCATTTAAATTGATTATAAGAATTAGCAAATGGTTAGATTTTAAATTGTGTACTGTGTAGCAATATTTTATGTAGCAAATTATGTGGTGACTTTTTTTATATGATCTTTTCTATATAAATTACAAATTTTAAATATGTATGTAGTTAAGATATTTTGTAAATTTATTATAGGTTGTTCGTAATACTTTTTTATGCTTGGGAACAACAAACAGACAAGTTATGATTCTCAATTATATTATTGTACCTTTACTTTAACTACCTACGTACATAAATACATAATTAAATTTTGGTATAAATTACACAAGTAAATGGGTAGCTTTCCCGAAGTAAATAAGGTGAAAGGCCTTAGAATAAATTTAATTCGTATTGTATTCAAAATTCTGACCGATTATTCCTGTTTATCCATGTTACCTACATTATTTTTTTTACTTAAGGTACTTTAATAGCGTTTTATATGAAGAAACATTTTCTATTGATATTGTCCGGCCGGCAATGAAGTTAATGTTTTGGCTAAATTTGTGTTCGTATGTAAATGTTCAATTTAAGTAAGTGTCTACTATAATGATTAATAATGAACATTCATTATTAAGGAAATAACTTGGCACACACACATATACTTTTTCTAATAAGTGATTATGTATTGGTTTGTTGCAGAGAATAATATCTTATTTAAGTATTAAGCCAATGCTTTAGAAAAATATTATTTACTTTAAGTAATAATAATGTTATCCTTAATTATATTATGTAAAGTAATAAATTCTTCGTAAATGTGTTTCAGTATTGCTTATAATAAATAGTTAAGATAAAGTTATTTGGTAATGGTTAGTACTTAGTGGTAACTTACAATAGCGTAAAATATCATTTTTATTTTATATTTCTTGATTAAACAATAATAATAAACATCATCATATAATACTGAGATCTAACGTGAAAAGCACTAGACATAGTACTTATTACATCTAGTTTATTTATTTAAATTTATAGATAAATACCTAGGACTTGGAATAGGAGGACTAAGTAGCAAAAGGGATGCCATCCTTTCAGCTCCGCATCATGGAGGTAGCCAAAACGAAGAAAAAAAAGTGCGTGCCTACAAATTACACGTGTGAAGAGAAACTTCTTTTGCAAACTAATTTTTAAGTCTTGTTCATATTGTATATATTATGTATATACAAATAAATTTCTGAGATTTAGAGGGAGGGAAGATATGTTAGGAAATTAATAAATTTAATTGTCATTAAAATATTACGAGTATCGAAAATTAACATAAATTATAAATTTGATTTTTTTATTTTATATCTTCGATAATAATAACACGTGGCATTTTAATTTACAATTCGTCATTTGAGATTTCAATATATTATTTATATAATATAATATATAATTAATACATATATTGAAATATATAATTTTAAGTTATATTATTTTATTTTGCATAAAATTTAAAATACTAATACATATTTCATAAATTCTCTTTACGAAATTTTAATTTTAAAAATGGAATTTCTATTGTAAGTAATTCACCCCTCTCAATCTCTCTCAATCGGTCTAAATAGCTCTCTCCCTTTTCTTCGACAAAAACGCTGTACATCTTTGTGACGTTTTTTAAAATTTTTACCGTCATGCACCTGAAGTTTTACTTCAAAAAAAAGCCGCGGAACTTTCTGTAGTAATTCAAAAGTGGCCCCAGAAGTCAAGTTTAACGGTAGGACTGTATACAGCCGAGGAGTGTTTTAGTGGGAGACGGAGCCTGTTGTTCGAGTCCCACATATTCCCGTAACCTTTAGGTAGACTCAGGAAAGGGCGTGTAAACAAAATTATCAATATAACTGACTAAATTGTTAATTGTTTATAATTATGTAGATTACAACGTAGTCGATTACAAAAAGACAAGAAGCTTAGGAGGTTTGATAAATGTAATAATTGATTATTATGTAAATATTACAAAAAACAAATCTGTCAGAATTACACAAGTAACGCCATCTGTCAATGACAGCAGCTAATGAACGTAGAATTTATTTTTTATTATGTAAAGTGCCATCACCAAATAAAACAACAACTGCTGTCAGGATTTCATAATGAACCTTCATTACTTGGTCGTTACATGTGTTCGTACTAGGTGGCGCTGTTTTAACCAACGAAGACGTATAAGTTTTGTGTACTTCAAGCAGTCTGAAGATGTCACTGGTAATTTTAGTATATTGTGACATCTCGAAAATCATCCTTTGATATATTTTGCTTATATTTTTAATGCACGCATTTTTTTGCCGCACAGTTTGTTTTATTTACCCCTGCGTAAATTGTACTTCGTGTATTCTTCCATAAATTAATTGTCTTTGGTACATCTAAAACTTATTATGGCCTTGTCGTACCTGGGGGGACATGTAGTCCAGATGCCTTTACAGTAGTGTATGTAGAAAATTAAGGTTTCGACTTTCTACGTACACTACTGTTAAGGCACCGTGTCTAAGCCCCCTGGACCAAATTCAGGAAGCACTAGAGCCATAATGCCTGCCAGGTGAATGTCATGAAAGTGGATCAAGCGAGAAAGGTATGTTAGACCTGTAGCAAGTGGAGATTCGTGGTCCGTCCTACCCTTCGGAAAAAAAGGCGTGATGATATAAATAAAAAAATAAAACTATTTTTTTATTAGATACCTTAGTTTCGTATTACGTACTATAATTGATTGCGATGATGAACTGCAATAACTGAAAAATATTTCCAACATAACTCTATTTGCGTTTGATTCGTTTACAATAATTATTAATATAGAAGATTAATTAAGCGATATCAGTAGTATTGCGGTAAAGTTTGCAGTTCGCTCAACGAGTGAGCACTCTGGCTTGCGGTCGCTATTCGCTAATCAAATTAAGCTGTGGGATACTAAGTATGGAAGTAGAACCCTTAAAATTACTTTATTAACAATGACATACTACATTTTAAAAGTCGATAACTTTTTTCACCTTTTTGTTATGTTAACAAAGTTATATGTATTTAAATAGATTTAAAAAAAATACACAAAATTTTAAATAAAAATTGCGTGTATGTTGTTATAGTAATTATATCGTTTTGTATAAAATGTACTTTTAATAGACGTCTATTGTTAATACATTATTGAAGTGAAACTTCTTTATCGGGGTTGGAAAAAAATTTAGTGTAACATTTTTGCGTTACGCGTCACATTTTTCCGTTACACGCCATGTTGCTTTTTGAAGTCAAACTTCTTTATCGACGTTAAAATATGACATATAGTATGTTTTTAACTTTGAAGTTTGACAACGGATTACATTTTCGAAGTCAAACTTCTTTATCGGCGTTAAAATATGACATATATTATGTTTTTGACTTTGAAGTTTGACAACGGATTACATTTTCGACTTGAAATTTGCTAATCGCAATTTGCAGCAATTAATTTGTAAATTATAAAAGGGGCCATACAAAAACTAGACCACTAAAAAAGAAAAAAGAAATCTAACTAAGTAATAAATAAATCTATACTAACTAATACTAATATTAAGAAATGTAAACTAACCAATTGTTGTATGGATTAATTTATAAAGCTTTAATAATAATAATACTTTATTTTATTTTTATGTGATTATTTATCCAATATCATAAAATGCACGGGAAGAAAATAAACTTTTCACCTTAACCTACATAAATCCAGCTTTTCAAAAGCCCTCTCCACCAAATCGTATCCAATGGATATTTAGGCGATTTCATGGTTGGATATGAACAAGTATGCAAACAGCGCGCGACCACCGCTCGCTTTGATTCCTCGAGTGCCGGCAAACGTTTTACGTTTTATATCAATTTCATTACTCAATGTAAATAAAATTATATGAGCAGTCTGTTTACAAATACTTAAAATGTCATCTGCATACGTTGTTAAAACGGCTTTTGATGTCTGGTTGGTGAATGAAGGTGCAATTTTTAACAAACAAGTTTTCAAAACTCAAAGGCCTTAAACATCTGTGCCTTCAAGTCGATCACCAGTCTACACGGTATATTTCTCTTGGTGATTCGCAGCCGGGGTTCGAAAGCTGTAACGCTAAGCGTCCTCGTGTCTTCACTAAACTCGGAAAATTACACGAATAAACAAAGAACGAAAATTATGAATAATAAATTTATTAAACAATTAAAAATGGATAAATAGAAACCTAAAATCACCGGTACTATCTACCAGGCGCCAACTTAAACCTTTAATTAGCGCTTGAACCCCACGACCCAAAACTCTACTCCAAAGGAAGTAAAATCAAAGTTGGAGGAAAGACTTAAATTTTTACCGTTCCGCCTGCTCTGCGGCCACGCCAGCTTTTGTGCTTATCCGAGGGAGGTAAGATGCTAACGTGTTCACACAAGTAGCATCCCATATCAAAGCCCGTCCCATCCTCCAAGGTGAAACGAAATTGTAATCATGTAAAGTTAAAGAAAAAGAATGGATGTAGTATAGAATTAAAATATTTATTTGCAGGAACGTTAAAGGAAGTCTATTGAGAAGATCGGGTAAGGAAT